TTGGCAGAGGTCCTCTCTACCTTAACTCGACAGCACTAGTTTACTGGTTTCCTCATTCCCCTCCCTCCTTGTCAAAGTACTCCATGCAGTTAAAAAAAACAAACCAAAACCCACCACAAAACACAAGGTGACCCATTTCCCTGAACATTCTGCAGCTTAGTCTCACTTGCATATGCAAACCGAAAGAGCCTGGGGCACTATTTGCAAAGCCCAAGCATCAGACCCGCACAACGGGAACACCCCATGCACCCCCACTAGAGCAGACAGCTCTGAGGTCGGGCTTGCTCTCCCACAGCAGCCAGACACCAGCACCACCGGTCAAGATTCCTGTCAGCACCCCTACCTAGCTGCCTACGGCTGGAGAATGGATGTCAGGCTGAGCAAAGATGGGTCAGGCACCTCTCTTTCTCCTCTTTGAGAAGTATGTCAGTTTTTGCCAGCCTACAGAAACACACGACTCAGACTTCCAACAGACCTGCAACACAAGTCAAAATAAATAAAACCCCCAGCGAATATGTATCTGTAGATACCAGGTATACATCCATCCCTTGGTGGAATGTCCCAAAGACCTGCTTGGAAAAGATGGCCCACCATGTCCCATTAACGTCTCAAAGCCTCCGCAGAATACTGCAGCCATCCCTAGTGACCTGGGCTCCTCCACTGCACCTTTTGGTGTGACTGCAACTGCAGCAGGAGCGACACAAGCAGTAACATTCATTTCAGTATTACTGGAGTTCTTAAAAGAAATGCTGCTGAATCAAACGTCGCTACTTCACAGGTAACACGTCCCATACAAAATGTTGTTTTCCACTGGGCCTACGCACCACTTCAAAGCAGTTTTGGAATCAAGGATGAGTTACAGCCTTAACCTAGAATTGATTCTGACATGCTAGGAGTGACTGACAGGCAATTGATATCACAACTGCTAACTGGCCTCTACAAAGCTGGTCTCTGTCCAGTCCCAAGGAAACACTTGCCCCCGACGTCAGCAGCACGGCCACATGAATCACAGCCCAAGGGCAGACCTGTCAGGCTCAACCACGTCAGCCACCAGAGCCTCTGAACAGCATTTTGTTCTGAAATGGGCCCATACATGGCACAGTCGAGGTACTCTACACAAGGCTTTCAAGTCCAAGACACTTCTGCTGTGAGTTTCCAACTCATGAATAATTAAAAAAACCCCAAACTCCTCAGCATAAAAATATAACATAGATCTCCCACTGTATCCAACATATTTAGTCCTCAAGATTTGGTTTTGCATTAAGATGGCAGATTTGCTTAGGTTCCAGGAAAGACCATTCTAGTGTCAAATAGCCCACTGACACATCCTGAATCCCTAAACTTTTATACCCTCCACCCCCTAAGGAACAGACCCAGAACACAAGAACTTTCAAGCACAGTCTTGCAGTCAACATTCAAATCAGCACGACAACATCCTAACCCTGGCTTCAGGGTCTGCGCTTTTCAGCTGCCATCCAGGCCAGTCAGCGCCGGCCGTACTGCTCCCCATGGGGGCAAGGCACAGGCAGAGACCCAGCAGTTCAAGGCAGAGCCTTTCAGCTCTTACACCCGTTGCCTCTACAAAAAAAAAAGTCCTTTTGCACAGGCTTTTTTGCCTGGTTGGTTGACAGGCATAACACCTAAATTCCAACTCATTCCCAATACCGCTAAAAAATAGATTAAAAAAATAAAATTAAGGCAATTTCTTTCAACTCCACTCCTTTCTCCCTGCCAACACCCTCACCCCATTCAGGGAAAACGTAGTGTTTATGGAATGTTTCGACCACAAGTGCCACACAACCCACTTGAGTCCTGGCTTCCATCTACATCTTGAAGAAAAAAAATGAAATACTCACACACAAACAATTTTCACATGTTTAATGTAATGGCACCCTAATTATGTTTACAGTATTTTCATCTCCACTGGCTACTGTGTTTCAAAAGTATAATGGGAAAAAACAAACATGAAAAAACACTACTTTTTGTAGGTTTAGAAACTTAACCATTTGGAGTTACATACGCATAAATGCCTTTCAAAAAATGGTTAAGAATTGTATTTTTCACACACCAAAAAAAACAGGTTTTGCTGGGTCTTTTCACAAGATATGGAGATCAAAAATGGCACTTAAGAAACTCCTCAAGTCAGGGGTGTCGTAAGGTCATATCAGGACTTCCGCTAGAGAGCCTGCCGTGAATCAAACGCTATAAATAGG